GGCTACCACAGCTTCTCTGGGCAACCTGTGCCAGTGCCTCACCATCCTCACAGGGAAGAATTTCTTCCTCTGTCACGAAAAGCGAAATCAAGACACCTCTGTTTAAAAAGTTCCCTCAAATCTTACTCAACTTGAAAGGAGCTTCCAGCTCAGGAAGGAGCCTCAGAGACTGGCTTCATCCTTTCTCCTCAAACAAGTAGAGTCTTTTCAGCATGTATCTTGGATAAGCTACTCTCCAAGCCTGTTTTTACATTAGGCTTGATCATTTTAAAACATAAGCAGGAAACCCTGAAGAAATCCTAAAGCTCTGGCACAGCTAGTTACATACTAGCAAGTGAAGCTTCACACACTGATGAAGTGATGCCCTCATCAGCCAATGGAAACAGCATCTCTCACATCGTATCTCAATTCAGGCATCCAAAAACCACGATCAGGTAAAATTAGCAGTCACTTCTGACTGCACAGGTTTGTATTTCTTCAACTGAAGGCTCTACAGCAAAGAAAGGTGCTGGGAGAAGGGAGTGGAGAGCAGGGGAAGAGATTCACGATTGACTATTTTGGATTCTTCCTCAGAGTTGCTTGCTTTGGCTTTTTTGACAGCCAGGTCTGACTACACAACACCAGAAGAAATAGGAAGAGAAATAACATGGAATTGGATTTTGAACAAGTTTGCTGACAAAAGCTTTCATTTAATGTTGTTTAAATCCAACTTGGCCTTAGAGGGAAAATAACAGAAGCAGCCAGCTCAGACTGAAATGACAGAACCCTTATATAGAAGATCCAAGCAAGAAAGCAAAAAAAAGATGTTTTCTATTGATGTTTTCCCCTTCCTTCCCTAGTCCCTCTCCACTGCCTTGCTCCCCACCAACCCTAATCCCTGCCATTTACTTCTCTCCTCCACATCTGTCACCAGCCGGGTGAGACAGGGTTTGGAAATACCAAAAGCAGCTAAGGTTTTTCTTAACAGATGGTTTGACATTTCTCTAGCAAAACAAGCCTCTGGTCCCTTGCCAGGGGGCTCAAAGCAAACCAAGGTGACTCTGTAGCTCTATTCTGTACCACCATTATCTGCAACTCCACATCAAGAAGATGCTGCTTTGATTAGAACTAAGTGAGCTCATCTTACTCCTCCCCAGAGGCAGCACTGCTGCAGCAGTAGGGCTACTGTGTGTCATTAATAACAACAAGGAGATACTGCATTAAATGGCTACTTTGGGCAAGAATTACCTCATAGTCCTTATTAACATCCGTTATTTCCCAGTAGTCGTTCGGAATTCCCATGCGCTGGTAATCCAGTTTTAAATCAATCAGTTTCCATCCAATTTCCCTGTTCTCTTTGGACATTTTAGGATTGTAAGAGAAAGCATAAAGTTCTTCAGGCTTCACTGGGAAGAAGAAAGAAAGAAGCAAACTAGTCAGAGAGAGCTGCAAAGACCTACAGAGAGGTCAACTCTTCTGGAAATCAGTAATTGAGCACTACAGAGGAGAGTGTTTGAGAAATTTAAAGCTTCTCAACCTTACAGGTTTCGGTTGGGGTAGTCCCAAGTGCTGACAATTCATCCTGAAATCCTCAAGGATTTCCAAACCTCAGTTCCCACATGCAGGGAGACAGGCTAAAACATTTTGTTAGAACTTCTTGTAGGTTCACAGCAGTAATTTTTCCTGAACTCAGTGCAGCAGGGATGTTAGACAAGATTTATATCATAACCATTAATCCAGAAATGAAAACATGCATTAAGATATCTATTTTCTGCAGAGAGTTCACACAAGAGCTCTTGCACACCTGTAAGTTCATCATTCACCAGTGAGTTCTGAGCTGCACAGAAACGTTTGAGACATGTGTGGAATATTACTGTCAGCCCAACAAAGGCTTCAGGCTGGGTCTGACAAATGGGCATTTCTCCCTCCATCCCTACCATCCCAATCTCTTTCATGAAATGCAAATCCAACCCATAACTCAGTCAGCTGATTCCCAGGGCAGTAAGTGCTCCAGAGGCAGAGGGAAACCTGTTGGAGGCTGATAAAGCTGCTGGTTACCAGGCAGGTAACCCACAACTGTCCATCACACATGTACAAATCATGAATAATGATGTGCTCTGCCAAAAAAAACATGCAGGGAGCACACACACAGACATTTTAAAATAAAAGCAGTTAAAATCCTTAAGTACAAGAAAAGAAAGAGCTACAGCATTTACACAAATAACCACAGGACAAAAGGAACTGGAGTGACCCTCTGTAGTTACAGCTCCCACACTTCAAGGCACTACACAAGTCTCTAATTTTCCAAACTCAAAGAACAGTGACAGCTTTTAAATGTAACACCAAAAACCTGCCAGAGATCAGCAACAGAATCAGAACTTCTGAACTAAGAAAGCTCCAAAGTGCCCAACGGAAATGCTGGGAATGGACACAAGCCTTAATAGCAATTAAAAATCCAATCTCTGCAAAAATCATTTTTCCTACAGTATTTCCAGGCCAGTCCTGTGCGAAGGGCAGAAGGAAGCTGCCTGGTGCCATCAATTCCTCTCCCTCAGACTGGTGACACAAGCTGCAATTACAAATTACACCCTTTTAATAACGCGACTCCAAATAAAGGTTCACTGAAGGAGCACCCCAAAAACAGAGGCTGCCACAGGCAGAAGGCAGGTGCAAAACTCAGTGGAATGCTGCCCTGCAAGAAGAACAAGGAGCCCGAGGATTCATCCATGATGGAATAAAAAAGCTGGAGCCAGAAGAGACCACAGGCTTTTGGGGCTTTTTTGCTTACACTTTCTGACTCCAAGCCAGGGCAGCCAGGGTGATACACAAAGTTTCACAACTGCAGAGCAGCCTCAACATGCCACTGGGAAACAAATGAAAGGTGCCAACATTTGTTTGTGGGATTCCAGAATTCTGTGAGTGTCTGAATCAACTGGAAAGGGCAGAACTGCATGGAGTCAACAGCTAAGGCACAGAAATGACTGACAGTGGACAGGAATGGGACATGACACTCAGTGTGAGTGCTAGGAGAAAACACTTTGAGACAGCCTCAGTAGGGCAACTGACCTCTGCACAGGCCACCAGAAGATCCTTTTGGGAGCCACCTTATTCCCACAGAATCCTGGAATGGTTTGCACTGAAAGGCACATCATAGATTGCCTCATTCCACTCTTGCCATGGGCAGGGACACCTTCCACTAGACCAGGTTGCTCCAAGCAATGTCCAACTTCGCATTGAACACTTTCAGGGACGGGGCAGCTACAGCTTCTCTGGGCAACCTGTGCCAGTGCCTCATCACCCTCACAGGGAAGAATTTCTGCCTAATATCCAATCTAAACCTACTATACCTTAAAAAAACCTACTAAAAAGCCTACTAAAACTTCATAAAAACTACTATCAATCTAAACCTTCAGGTTGCCCAGGAAGTTGTCAGGTTGCCCAGAGAGGTTGTGGCTGCCCCAACCCTGGCAGTGTTCAAGGCTAGGTTGGATAAAGCCTTGAGCAGCCTGTTCTGGTGGGAGGTGTCCCTGCCCAGGGCAGGGGGTTGGGACTAGATGATTGCTAAGGTCCATTCCAAGCCCCTAGCATACTATGAAATTACCCTCTGGCACTGAGAAGCCATTCCCCCTTGTCCTGTCATTCCATGCTCTTGTAAATAGTCCCTCCCAATCTTTTTGTATGCTTTCAAGACTGTTTACTTTAGAATGAAATGTCCTGGTCCACAGGGCCAGCTCTCTGCTTCCTGAGCCCACCCCTTGCCTCTGTGGTGGAAGCTGACTCTGATTCTACATCCTCCCCTCCTGCACTGACACCCTGACACCTGGGGCAGGCACAGCTTTCCCAGGGCTCAGCCCAGCCTTCCAGCTTAGAGTTCCAAGAATTCCCAGCAATACCTGGCTGTGAAAGCTTGAGCAAGGAGGTGAACACGTCGTGGCAGTCCCTCTCCTGCCCCAGAACAAAGTGAGCCACGTGGAAGTTCTTGCAGTGGATGAGCAGTGGATACCCAGATGTGGTCAAGGGCAGTTTCTCTACAGTGGCAATGTGGTGATGCAGGATCTGTAAACAAGGAAATAAGCAACATCTGTCACTGTTAAGGCTGTGAGCAGTACAAGCAGATATTAAGTTTTTGTATTATGATCAGCCATTTATGCTTCCTGCAGCATAAAGGAGTTAATTTGCAATATTTATCAATCCTCATAAACACCAGACTGCACCAAGGTAAGTAAAGCGAGACTGAAAATGCAGATAAACTACTTTTAGAGACCAATGTGCAGCTTGATTTACGTGGTGCCCTTTGCATTCCCTCCATCCCCATGTGTAATATATTCTGTCATTCCCATTTTGCTCTAGAATTAATAAAACAGGGTAATCTCAGTGTTAATTCTGTACTTTTAAAAAAGCTGTAGATTCCACTTAGATGGTTTGGTGTATTAAATTTGAGACAGGACATCACACAAAGTTTTATATTCCTTGAACTGACATCATTTCCTTGAGTGAACTCTACCAAGTCATGTCACTCGTGTGCTCATTTCCTGACACATCAGCTGCTTGTTCAGCATTTGGTATCAGAATTTCCAAACCTGTTCATTCTGGCCACAAGAGCATGGAGTGCCA